CACTTCTTAAACCACTAGGTGTTACCAGAAAGTTAGTTCTTCCTGTGTAGACTCTATGGAATCACTGTGCATGGCAGATGAGAAACTTCCTGTAGAAGATAAAACATATATCCATGTAAAATAAAGAAAATATTACATGGTGACAAAATCCCATAGGAAACATAATTTAGTGTTGATTCTGCTAGCCATATCTCTAATACAGTTAAATAATTAACTGTTGATCAAAGTATACACATATGAAAAACAGAGCAATCCATGTTATGCCGGATTGCACAATCTATTATGAGCAGCATTTCCATTTTGACACAGAGGGCACAGTTTAGATTACGATTTAGATTGGTGCAACCTACTCTGTCAGCTACATTGTTTATTGCAATAGTAATTTGCATTGTCTTTTTCTAATGATTCATAATGACTAAACTATCAGTTTGTGAATTATTCTGCCTACTTAGATGGCATAGTAATAGAAGCACTTTGAGACACGTACACATGCTTTCAGCCTGAGTGCATTCTTCCAAGCATTCATTCTGCAGTAGCAATCACAGAGAAATTGTTCTGAGTCTTGGACATAATGCACACATCACAAAAATACAATAAAATATTAAAAATCAAATGCCACAAAAATGTGAGAGAAGGCATAACTTAATTTTTACTATTCAAAACATACCATTTCAACAAGAATAACCAAACTTCAAGCAAACATCACCATCGCATATTTATTAAATTGCATAAGCCAAAATTCATGTAATTAATATCTTCCCATGTTTCGACCTTATTGAAATTAAAGAGTTGAAATGATGGTGGATTTCCTCTGGCAGGGGTTTATTTGTCTTTCTCATCACTGCAAATTATGTTTTATTTTTCTCTTCAAGTCTAAGTAGACTGGGAACCTGTCATTGTTTCTATGTTTTAAAAGTAAAAGTAGCATTTGTTGTGCTGATGTGCAAGAAATATTAACGTGTGTAATAACCAAAAATATACACAGAATAGATTACATGTTATATCAAAACCAGCATAATATGTGCGCTAAAACATAATAATGAAATGAATGATATTATCTACTAAAAACACAGCAGCCTCAGAACTACAGCACAGTAACTGTTTATGCAACACACTTTTTAGCAGGTGAATAATTTAAAGACAGTTTAAAGTAGGCAAAATATAATTGCCCAAATTGGAATCTGATAAGGGCAACAGAATTAACTGATTTATTCTTGCAAACAAGAACAGTGACAAAACCTGCAGTGGAAACTTTTGTCCCACAGTAGTTGGGACCTTCTTTTCTTTACCCTATCAAAAAGAGCCCTTTTTGTAGCAACCGCCTCTATGTTCCATATGTATATTTGCCAGTATCACATATCAAGAATTAAGAGGGCTACATGTACAATTTCAGCTCAGTTCTCACCTTTATGCAAAACATTACTTTATCAAGGCACACAATCAAATGTATGACTTGAAAAAAGAAAGTCACTTTAATGATACATTAGTCCAGTAATTCTCAACCAGGGTGCCAGGGTACACAGGAGCGCCATGAGATCCTTTCAGAGGCGTAGCAGGGTGCCACTCAATATTAGCACTGTTAGGTGTGTAAAGGGGGCTGGGGTGGCATAGTTGTTAAGGCGCACAGTTGACAGTCCAGAGGTTGCAAATTCAAGGCGATAGCAGAAGCATTCTTGACACAGTCTGTCAGGCTCAACAAACTTGTTAATTCATGCAGAAGCCCAGACATGAGTCACAAGAGAAAAAAAAGATTTCCAATAGGAAACTATAGTGTTGAAATTTTGACCTGCTGTGATCTTTCTGAGTTCTTTGCAACAGAATTTCTCTTTTTCCATAGCAAAAATAAATAACAGTGAAAATTAAGGGCTGGTAATTTTCAGGTGTGCCTTGAGTCTAACAAGAAGTGAATTTGAATAGGTTAAAACTGCTGCCTGAGTCTGTTTTTTTTAGATAAGCAATGCTTGCCCCTAAATTGTCCACTACAGCAATTTGAGGTTCAAAGAAAACTTACCATTCATTGTTTTTGTTTTTGAAAATAACAGCAAATAAAAACTATAGAAATAGGAGGTTATAAAGTAGATTCCTGCAATTTGTTTATATAAAGATGTTACAAAGCCATCAGCTTAGACAACTTCTTATTACTAAGTCAAGATCTGTTGACAGATTTTAGAACAGAACTATTTTCATGTAGTATCAGTAGGTATATCAGTAGATATTTAATTCTTATCAATTTTATCACAAGGAACAGGATCAAACCATATTTCATATTAAATGTCTTAGTCTGAAAGTGTCTAGCTTTTTCAGTCCTGCCTCTATTTTTATTTCTCATCTCTTCTGCATGAATGCCACTACTTTTATTCCTCTACTTAGACTGTAGATAATGTTTTGCTGTTAATAAGTTGGGCTGATAGCCAGTAAACTCACATGTTTTGCAAGATGATGTCTTTAGGACACAAAATACAAACACAATAATTTCAAGCCAAAAATGAAACTAGAACCTTTATGTATACTTTTAAAATATCATAATTCTCTGAACTCAGCATTTAGATAAAAGAACCTGTACATACTTTCAGCACGGAAGAAATTATCTGTATTAAGAAAGTATCTTGCCAAATACTGCATATAGTATTATGTTGTTTTAACTCTATTCTATGAATATTATATAGTTGTATAGTCTAGCATTTTATGTTCACATGTATAATAAATATGTATTTTACTTCTAATGTTTATAATCACTAAATATCACACTGAGAGTGCAGTATTTTATAATTTTTAATAAATACTAGCATACTGGAAAATATTATTTTGTTTTGGAAAACTGAGAACAAGATAATATCAATAATTAAGTTATCATATTTCAGCTAAAGAATTCTAGGATCACTGACCAGTTTGCTGAGGATGATTAACAGGCCAGGCCACTAAGTTTAGAGAGGTCATGGAAGTCTGCTGAACTAATTTGATCCTAATATACAGCCAGACTGACAGGCTCAGAGTGTTTGTAAAACTATGAATATCTGTTGAGTTAGAAGAGAGATCCAAAAGGCATAGATAAAGTGTGTGCATATTACAAAACAGCACATATTCAAGTGATCTAGGTTTGTTTTCCTATTAGAAACACCTCAACAGCAAAAATCTTCCAGTGCTGAAGGTATGGAGCAGCAGGCCCCTGCGCACACAGTTCAGTGTGCTCTGCAGACTCCCTCAGTCTGACCTTGCTACTCCTGCCACCAGAATGCCCCAGTGCTGGGATGAGATCAGCTCAGAGATGAAGAGCAGCTAGAAGAATCCAAGCAAGACAGCGGGAAGCACTCTGAGGAGTTCACTGCCATAGCACAGTCTCCTTCTATCAGAATTACATACCTAATACTGGACAACCCAATTCTGAAAACACTCTTGCATTCCTAACTGATGCTAAGCTGGGGCAATTATTTGATACTGTGGGCCATGTAGGCAGTTTTGGGGAGCTGCTGCGAGCCAGTTAGCACCCCTTCCCCACAACAGCTCTCCAAACCCAGAGTCCATGCCCCCTGTGGCTCCTCCTAACCACCGCCACCAGCAGCAGCAGCTAAGTGCACACCCCGACCCCAGTCTGCCCCACACCCGCTCTAGACTCACCCCAGCCAAAGCGGACCAACTCGGGACCTGCCAGGACTCACACACACAGCCCCATCCCTGCCTTACCCTATGCCCACTCTGAACCAGCCTGCCCATGATGAGCAGTAGCAGCAGCAGCAGCAACAGGGGACAGGCAGAAGCTGCTGCTGGGCTTGGGGAAAGAGGCCACCTCCCCTTCACTGCTGTTGGGCGCTTATTGCAGCTGGCTGGAGCCTGCACCCAGGCTGCCCTGAAGCAACTCTGTGCTGCTACTGCTGCCTTGCTGGGTGCCCCAGAGGCAGTGCCAGTGGTGGTGGTGACAGTAGGAGAGGAGCCGCAGGGCAGCCCAGGCACAGGCTCCTGGTGGCTGCAGCAAGAAGGGCCTGGCAGCAGTAAAGGGGAGGTGGCCACTCTTCCCCCACGCCCAGCAGTAGCTTCTGCCTGGCCACCACTGCAGCTGCTCAAGACGGCAAGGG